TGGTCGTTAGACGGATTTTCCCGAGGATTGGGGGCAAATCCGTCTAGTAGCAAATTTGCCTCGAGTTACGCCGTTTTATCAAGGTATGCAATTTATAAACAAGTAAATGCAGATGATGAAGAAAAATGTTTTGTAACATCATAAAAATAAGGTTTAATTTACGTTTTACTCCCTAAAATCTTTTTGGGAGCTAATCCGGCCTATTTTTATAACCAGGGACTTTTAAACCTTTCTAAAAAGTTTGAAAACTAAATATTTTTACTTATCAGTTTAATTTTTCAGGTACATTGAAACAATCCTATCTTATTATGACAATGGTATTTATGGTATTAACTTAAATAAACAGGGTTACTTTTAATTAATTCGGTTAGGTATAAGACCATTATAATTTTAAACAACGTTGCACTTCAATGTTGTATTAAAAATTGAATTAAGGTGATTGCACCTTAAAGGTGGCGGTTCGCGCCGCGACAGAGACAGGAGACCACGACCGGAGACCGCGACAGGAAATTGCGACTGTTACTATATGAGCGGCAGTTCGCTAGCGAGACACAGACAGGAGACAGATATGCGAGAGACGAGACAGCGACACAGTCGCTACCCCGGACGAATAGTGTCTCGTATCTCGTTCGAAAAACACATGACTTTAGTGTTTAAAAATACTTTTTCTGACGAAAACTGTGAAACGCCTTGATTTATAAGTATTATTAAATCATTAATTGGTAAATTCATAAAGGTAAGTTCTTTTTTTGTAACAATAATATAAGAGCAAATTATCGTCTTCTTCTTCCTCCAATAGAAGTTTTACAACTTGGTTTACCATCATGCATGCCACATAAAACACTACTGATTTCATCGACAGACTCTCGATATTGATGCGATCGCGATCGAAGTACTTAACGCGATCTCCGGTCTCGGTCTCGACCTACAGTTCATGCAGAAAAAACCGAGACTCTTGTCACGGTCCCCGGTCTCGGTCTCCTGTCTCGGTCTGCAGTCTCTGTCGCGGCGCGAACCGCCGCCTTAAGGCGCTACCTCCAGCGAACGACCTTGAGCGTTTGGTGTGTCGACGCTCGCTACAATATATCGCGTAAGAAATCGCCAAAAGACGCCACCTACTGCTACGAACGTAGTATTATTTTTTCAATGTCAATGAACTTTTCTATGTAAATAGACACGGCGTACAATGATAAATGTATTTTAATTTTCTTTATTCGGTATATTAGTTGCATTATATTAGAATTATGTATTCTAATATATTATCTAATTAATAAAAATGACTATTTTGATTATTTTTAACTATATACTATACTGCTAATATTGAATTAGCTTTTTATAGTGTAAATTATAATATTTGTCGAAATATTAATTATGGATTCGAACTTTACATGCTAATGGTGCTTCATTTTTGTTATTTTCATTTACTTACATATTGAAAATATACTTGAATAGTAGTTATTATTATTTTATTTAGCTACTAAATTTTAGGATATGTTTTACCTTGAGGTCAAATATAATTTTGAGGAGCAATAGTTATTACCTACTAATCTTTTATCTGCTATTCCTTATTTAGGAGCAATATTAGTAAATTGAGTTTGAGGGCGATTTACTGTTTATAATGCTACATTTATTATTTTAATATTTACCTACTGGGTAGGTAATTATTAAAATAATAAATATAGCATTAGTAACTAAATAGATATTTTTTTTAAATTTTTAAAATTAAAATTTTCGTATTTTTAAAAATTACTAAAAAAAGGGTTTGAAATAATAAATTTTCTCACAAAAAGAAGGGAACTTGAAAAAAAAGGAAAAAAAGCGGGACCAAAGCCAAGACGCGAACCACGGAACTCCGATATCACGCCCGACTGACATAACACCTGAGTTATAACGACCGTTAATGATTAGTCGAAATTTACCTTCTTATACTGTAGCAGTTTTTTATTGCCTGAAAACATGGACAAAAGGACATTTTCTAAAAATAAATCCAAGCGTTCGTCGCTAAAATCGTTGGAGCCGTATAATTTTCTCATCTGGTTCGGTTATATAAATATTTAAATATATAAAAATTATAAATTAAAATGAAAAGATAAATATACATTAATATCAATAAAATAAAATAAATACAAAATAATATTATATTATTATTGTTATTATTATTATTATAAGTTGTGGTTCGGTGAAGCTGCAACCTAATGGACCATGATATGAAAAGTGGTTGTTGACGTCAATTATTATTATTCTTATTATTTTTTCATTACTACCTTTTTTCAACCTCACAAGATATTTGTAACTGCAAAAAAAACTACGTATAAGTAAGTAAATCAGTAATATAGTGTTATGTATGATTCAGACTAAATAAAGGTTCCTAAAAATAGACGTAGATAAAGAAATTGCACAAAAAATTACTCAAATAAAAATGCAATAAACTTGTTAATTTTATAGGTACTTAGTAAAATATTAAAATAATAAGTTTTTTAGGATATTTATGTAAAATATAAAGGTTATATTATGTTCTAACTACGTTCACGCTTGCGCATATAAAACCGCGGAATTTCACTAGTTTTATTATCAAAATAATAATTGTCAACCCTACCCTAAGTTTGCCCTGATTTTACCAACTCAAACTCGTTTTAGGAGATCAAAACATAGAGAGAAAGATAGGAGACAATTTTTTACTTAATATGGTTGGATCTTTATTTATTTGTATATTTTTTGTATTTATTTTATTTTATTGATATTTATGTATATTTATCTTTTCATTTTAATTTATATTTATAAAAACCAACCAGATGAGAAAACTATACAGATACCCCAACAATAATAATATAATAATAATAATATTCCACAAATATCACACAACGCCATCTAGTCCCAAGCTAAGCAGAGCTTGTGTTATGGGTACTAGACAACTGATAAACATACTTATATATTTCTAAATACATAAATATTATAGATAAATCATCACACAAACATTTGTCCTGGGTGGGAATCGAACCCACGACCTACGGCATAGCAGTCAGGGTCACTAACCACTAGACCAACAGGCCTGACGATAAATAAAATAAAGTCTCTAGCTCGAGAGGAGAGGAGCCGTGGTAGCTCAGATGGTTAGCTCTTGCTAAAATTTTCACAGTGTGCGAGCAAACCGGGTTCGATCCCCGCCGGCACCAATAATATTGTAATTGCAATTTTAAGTGTTGATTTACCACGTGCTCAGTGGTGAAGGAAAACATTGTGAGGAAACCTGCATGTCTGAGAAATAAGAAAAATAATATTTCGAAGACATGCAAAGTTCGCCAACACGCAGTGGGGCAGCGCGGTGGATAAATCCTTTCCTAGGACCCTTTCAGAAAATAGAATAGAAATAAAAAAAATAATAAATCCAAACTTCATTTAAAACCAAACATATAAATTGTAAAATAGCTGCAGGTATCTATAACCAAGTAAAAGATATTCCTTTACTCCAACTTGTCCATGTTTCCCAAAACAATTTTTAATTAAGCTTTATATTATAATGCGGATTTTTTATATTTAAAATTTTAATAATAAAGCATTTCGTACGTCTCAGCCGAGGCGCAAATATTTTTCGGCCGCAAATTTATAAGACCGATTTGTTATTCAAACATAAACATGGTTTTTTAATTAAATCTACCAATCATAAAACGACACGCATTTTTATTGAACACTTCCTATTCAATTCACAAAGTACCTATTATATTTGTTTATATAAAAAAGTATATTTAAGTACAATCATAAAACTAAATGGAAACACAAATTAGGAAAATGCATTGAGTTATAAAACACATAAATCAATGGGCAAATGTAAAAATACTGGAGGCAGCAGCCCTATCCCATGTTTACGTACCGCACGGCTGTAATATTTATTTCTAAGATACGGCCGAGTTACAATATACCGTGACGTAAGCGCATCGGTTGGTAGGTACTCAAATAATAATATTATGTTTGCGGCGAAATGAGGACGCGCGGCAACCAGCGACGCGGCCACCTCGTATGAACGCATACAGCGTAATGCCGCCCGCACTCTGCGCACGCCCCTTTATCATAGAAGTCACACAATTTTCGGAATTATTTCAATTAAAAGAGAAAAAACGAACTTAAAAATTTAAATAAAACGTGGAGAATATAGATTTTTTCATTATCTATCCATTAGTGTTATCCTCAAATGATTAGAGCGTTGCGTTTAGCAACAGATGCATGTAATCAAGAATTTTAGTCATTTTTTAAAAGTTGATTTTAAATGTATTTATAGCACATAAAAATAAATTAGAACGTGGAATGCGATGATAAGATATCGAACATTAATAATGTACTTTTAGATGTAGTTTATTTTTCATAACTAATGAGATAATAGAGTCTGAAAAACGCACTTTTGCCAGGTTTTGGTCAGGGTAGCGTCTTAAGTGCTTAAATAAAAATCAGTTTCCGAAAATAAAATGCTTTTATTCATGATGACATAATATTATAGTAATGACATATTATTATTAGTGTTAAAAATGCAACATACTCAACAAAGCGTACTCAAAGTTGTCGGATTCTTTATTTTTATCCTTAGGTACTACGTCACACACTTAAGACTTTAAATTAATTACAAGATACAACATTAGAAATGAAATAGAATTATCTGATCTATCAGCAGTGATAGCATAAACAACACAGTCAAGAATTAACAAAATATCCTTACTTAACAAACATAAATCTTTAAGCTATCAAAATACAATATTAGAAATAAAATACCTCAAAAATGTGATCAATCATTGATCGCATAAACAAAAACAAAATAATCACAATATTTTTTTTTTAAATCTAGGAAAAGAACACTGTATCATCTTCATCATTTAAAAAGAAATCATTTCTTTTTTCCGGATCTTTTAACAGGTTAATTCTTTTTACTATAGAATTCTGTGGAACCTCATCTCGATCTATTATTCTTGTCATCTTAAATGTAAGTTTCGGTGTCTTTACTGTTTTGTAAAATTTTATTGAAAAGTACGGTTCATTCGTCTGTTATCTGGGTTATCTGTCGCTATAAAGTTCTGATTGAAAACATTCAAAGCTATGAAAAGCAATGTATGCGGTTCTGTTCTCTGGATCACATCATTGACTGGTAGGTCATTATCAGACAAAGCAGGATTATTAGTTCTTATGTGCTCATTCCAGCGGCTCAACTTCAGAGCATTGAATTTTGTTTCCTCAACTGCAGCGGGATTAAAAGGCCAAATGCCACCTTTTTTGAATCCGTTAGAAATATTTGCGGATCTATTTGAGCCCATACTGATCCAATCATTCGTGAAAACTCTTTTTTTGACAATGGTACACCATAATGAAGTCGCTGCCATTTGACGAGTTCAACATCCCATCTATCTTTAAATGATTCCATAACGGAAATGTCTAACGGCTGTAATATATGGCTTGTATGAGCAGGTAGTTTTAATATAGTTATATTTTCTTTTCGTGCTTCTTCAATTAAACTCAAACCCACATGGGTTGAGTGGCCGTTATAAATAAGTAAGACTGGACTTTGATCGCCAACCGTCGGCAAAAAAGATTTTTTGAAGAAGGCTTCAAATACGTATTCTGCATCCAGCCATTTTTTGTGGCGGCATATGTCGTATCTGGAAATGCATCAGGCGAAGTCCACTCGTCCCAAACATATTTTCCTTTTAAGACAATTAGGGGAGGTGTTTTTTCTCCAATTGCACTTGCACCTAGTAACACCGTCGTATTATCTCTCCCAGGTGTTGCTATAACTCTCGTTACTGCACGGCTTTTGAGACCTACAATTTTGGTTTTCGAAGGGTCCTTTGAAAAACTGGTATCGTCTAAGTTCCAGATTGCATTAGGCTTGTCTGCTAAACCTAATTCCATTATAGTTGTTTTGAGTAAATCAAAGTACTCATAAACCACAAATGGATCAACCGCTGTTTTCCGAGCGTATTCAACAGCTTGTGGTTTTTTAACCGAAAGGTTATGTCGATTTTGAAATGAGGCCAACCAGTTCTTTCCCAGTATTCCATTTTGATAGATTGTTCTGCTTTACATATTCTCCAACCATCTGGAAAACTTCTGCCCTACTAAGGCCAAAACCATATTTTTCCATTGTACGGAGGCAGGAAGCGAGATTTTGTTCAATCAACAAAGGCAGAGTGGTTTTTCTCCCTGGTGTACTTGAAGAACTTTTTTTGTGGACATGGTTCCATGATGATCATCCGTGGAATTTGGTAGAGTTGCGCTGCTTTATATCCAGTTAATGTACCATTTCGGACTGGCCAGTACAGCTGCATGCAACTTGTCCTTGCTATAGTTTGTTTGTAGTTTTTCTTTTATAATTTCTCACCATGATTACTATTATTTTAGTAATTTTGAAAAAACTGAAAACAAACAAAATAATAATATTAATAAACATTTTATCTGACCGTAGGCCTAATATTAGTTATAACTAAAGCAGGAACATAACTATCATATTCTGAGTTTAAGATATTTCGGCATTATGTTATACTTGTAAGCGCCATAGTCACGGATAAAATGGGCAACTAGTATCAATTGGGTATTTGAATAATAGAACATATTTTTAAAAATTAAAACTTAAAACACAATATTAATCACACTGATCATTATTCCTGAGACTTCTTAAATCCAATACTTCCCCGACTTACAAAAAAATCCTGAAGAAAAAGTCGTTTTGTCATGTATTTTCTGGAAAGCCTCTCTCACCGACACAATGCAGTCCATGAGATAGCCGCAACAATAAGAAAAAAAAACGCCTGCCGGAGTCACGGGACTGTCTAAACAGATAAGCGCGACCCGAAAACGCAAAGATCAACTATAAGAACGTTTTGAATTGTAGTCAGTACGAGTCGGACGGTCCCCGGCTCGGGTGAGTATTATGAATATCATATACTCACCCGAGCCAGGGCTCTGTAATATAGACTAACTTCTGTCTGAGCTAGTCTATACTACAGAAGTTTGCTACGGTGAGTAAAAATTGCCAAAGTGACGTCACACCCGATCGGATTTTGTTCGGGAACTGGCGTGTTTTTGGTTCGAGGTACAAATAATGATTTTGAATTTAACATAAATTCTTAATTAGACCGAAAAAAAAACTAAGAATAGTTTGTTATAAAATAATATACCTAATCTTCATACATATACATAATCTTCCTAATCAATTAAACACAAAAAAATAATGTTTCAAAGACCCAATTGTTAGTTACCAGTGGACTTTCAAAGTAGGTATAAAACTAAAAATAGGAAGGATGTAAAAGGTTGACTACATCTGCAATGCGGTAATTCCAGTATATGACGATTTAGCCCCTTCGAAATTAGACGGATTTTCCCACTTGAACATTTTGAGGTTACGTATTTTTTATAACAATTATTTCTGTATCTACTGGTTTATATTCAAAACAAATAGAAAAATCCGTTGAAACACTTATTAAACTACATGTTATGCGTAGTCAGAAAGTCGTAACTTGTAAAATTGAATATTTACCTTCGGCGGCACGCAACACTTGAGTTTCGAGTTCGTAGCACAACTAAACTTCGAATTCGAATTTTCGAATGCATTTTTTGACAATTGTAGACAACCTTGCTCCATCTATGAATCATAGTTAGAACTAAAAACTGATCCTGTTTTATCGACGGAACCAGTAACAGCTTAACTATTCTGGAATGAATAGTAAACGCATGTGTATGGAATAGCCCCGTAGACGGATTTGCCCACATTAACCTTACAATTGGAAATCATGGGTTTGAATTTTTGAGCAAAATACACAGTACGCGAGCTTCCCGTGTTCCATCCCACTCATTTAACCAATGAAATTAATTGCAATTTTAAATGCTGATTACCACGTACTTGGCGGTGAACGAAAACATCGTTAGGAAACCAGCATATCTAAGAAAAAAATATTTCGAAGACATGTGAAGTTCGCCAACACGCATTGGGGTAACACGGCGGACACTTCCTTGCCTTAAAACCCTCTTAGAAATAAGAGGAGGCCTATGCCCAGCAGTGGGACATATAAAGGCTGTAACGGTATAATTTGTAAACAGGAAATAAAACAAAATTGAAGAAATGTTCCATGTGTATTTTTGAAATAAAATAATATAGTTGTAAAAAAATTTATTAAAATCCGTTAACTTTGTCAGTACTTCATCACAAATAATATTTACACCTGTTTAAAATGCTAAGTACAATGGTTCAAATGTGGAATGTCATTTTTAAACTTTTCTTCTTTATTGCATATTGAAAGGCCATTGATCACAAGTTTTTAACTGTTTCAGATCGGAGACAGCCCTTTATGAAAAGACTTTCCAATAATATACAAATAAGTCACGATTAAAAAACGCATAACACTAGCTCATTCTAATTTGTAATAATAACACATTGTCGACTTATATCAATACAATTAAAAATAGAAATTCATGCTAACTTATTTATACAATCCCTACGTCGTAGTAATCTCTTGTGTCCTTCAATTTACCATTCCCAAACTTTAATTGAATATTTTGTTTGTAATTTTATCAAAATTCACTATTTTTCTTTTTTGAGTGGTTTACAGAAATGTCATAAAAGAGCGGTCATTTTATTGTATTGTCTTATTTATGTTAATCCTTTTGAAAGGATGAAACTTTAAAGATATTCAAATAAAAGAAGGGAATGTTGAATACAAAGTTTTGTCAAAACATTACTTTCATAATTCATCACAAGTACATCTCATTGCAACTTGGTATTTCAGTTCAACTTTCCGTCATAATGCGTATGTCATTGTAAACAATTCGAAATTTATTTTCGATGCACATTCATAAAAGTTACATGATAATAGTGATAGAAATCAACCATTAAATTCTTATTTTATCCTGCATCTATTCCAGCACGATATTTAAGGAATAAATTAAAATATTACATCCAGTTTATGTTAGTTACTGTATTACATACATTATATACATTTTGACCTCTGCATATTTTTCCACAGATTATAACTTAGGTTTACATACATATTCTTTCACTGTCCGATTTTCAGACATAATAGTAAGACAATAGCAATAAACTATATGTAGTACACGGGACAATGAAAGGGTTGACATTATTTTTATTAGAGATACAACAGTGTTAGTAATTAAGCAATACAAATGACAATAAATTAATATGGTGGGGTCATAAGAGGGCATGTAGATAAATGCCCAGATCTTGCGGCTTCAGAAAGAAATAACTATTGAGCATAAAAAACCTAGAACTCATACTGTAGTGTCAGACGTCTGGTGGAGATGGTCGCAGGCGGCTCACTTGTATTTTTGGTCAATTTGTCACAATTAATGTATCAAGTATGTTAAAATCTAAATTTTCTCGCTCTTTTCAAAATTATTGTGATATAGCAATTTTACCATATTTGACATGATAAATATGCTAAAATATTACAAAAAATCAGGGAAGACTTGTGCAGTTTTATATTTAGTGTATTTCTAGTGTAATTTTTGGTCTGTGTGGATTGTTAACAGACTGATGGAGTAAATAAATACATAAACACTCACACCTGTCACCCAGATGGGGAAGACAAAGACAGTGGACTTCCTTCTGGCACACTCCTGACACACCTCTCTAATCATCACTCAGGAGTAAATAAGGAAGCTTAGAGTTGCTTGCACAAGTTACAAAGTTGTCCCATAGCATAAGTTATTGACGAAACTTTTACATTTTATAAACAAGGTATCATCGTCATCATCATAACAGGTTATTGAAAAATCCTCTGCTGTCGCCTCTTACAACACCCACAGAAGGAAATGGGTAGTGGGTTCTCTTAAATTGCCACTAATGACTGCAATCAACATATGGCTATGAAATAATAACATTTTTATGGCAACTATGCATTTACATTAAACTTAATAATATTCCTTAGAAATGCATTCATAACACACTTATAATGCCTGGATATTTGTTGAACTTTAATAAGGCGTGAATTATAATTACGTGTTATGAAAATAATTTAAAAATAAAAATTATTTTGTGTTATTATTAAATGTTTGAAGTTTGCCTTGATATTAGCAGTTAAAAATTGTGGTAGTTGCACCTTTATTTAAATATAAGCGGATACCCGGCGTGTGTTGACACTAAAAAAAAAGGAAATATTTGTTTATTTGTTTAAAAAAAGGAAATTTTTATTTATTTATTATTTTTTGTATAGTTTTAGTTTTTTATGGTTTAAAACCATCTTTGCATTATTACCTTTCTAATGAAACATGTTAGGGGCACATCGGGTGGATGGTTTCAAAGTCTATAATGGATATAGGGAGGAAACATTTTGTGTTTTATATAGATTCATGAATTCATAATAATTATAGCACTAAATCTTACCCTGATTATTTAACTGTATTTTATGCTTTTAAAAAGACGCTGCTGTATGTTTCTAGTGGTTTCAATTTTATTTTTTAAATTCTACTTACTTTCTTTTTTTATCAACATTCATTTTTAATTTTGTGTTCAAATAATGTTGCAATGAGATATTATCTCAAAGGATTGAGAAGTCTGTAACTAAGATCGGTGCTTATTGCGATTAAGAGTCTGAACAAGCCGACGTCCCCACCATTCTTCAAGATTAAAGGGTCTGAAATTCGCCAACTGTCGTGGCGCCAAAACTTCTTGGTAATATTTGGCGTCGTCACTACCGCGTTCTAATTCTCGTGTGACCTGTAAATTTATAATAAATTGTTGAATAACCAGCAACTAAATTAAAAATTTTTTCAAAACCAAATTGTTTTGGTGTATACCAAAATATACAAATAAATTTGGTTTTAGTATTTATTCACTGGTAACAACGGAATAAGCATTTGTTTATCTTTTCTTATTTTTTCACACACATATAATGCCAATATGAATGCCCATAAATTAAATTTTACCAGTATCACATTATTCCTTCCATTCTAGTATTAATTGCAATTTCTAGTTCTGATTTAATATGTGCCGGTGAAAAAAAATATCGTGAGGAAACCTGCATGTCTAAGAAAACTAAGAAAAAAATTATATTGAAGATATGCTAAGTTCGATATCACACATTGGGGCAGCACGGCGGACATTTAGTTGCACTAAAACCCTCTCAGAGATGAGAGGAGGCCTGTGCCCAGCAGTGAGACATATATTGGTTTTAACCTTAACATTCAACCTCAAAATATTTCTCTACCTACTTGATTAACTTATTTGAAAACAAAAGGGACAGCATATTTCCCTCATTTGTTCATATCATCATCACCAGAAATTATTAACTAATCATTTCTGGTGGAAGATAATAAATGTTTATGTGTTTCTTTTGTTGAAGATTTGAAAGGCTTTCACATAAAAAACTTAATTTAAAAAATTGAGGTTTTATTTAATTTGTCTGTTGTTACTTTCATGACTGAATTGATTTTAAATGAATCTTTTTAGAAGCCATAAAGTAACGAAGAAGATATACCAAATGTAAAATACCAAGACAGGCGCCTGTAGAGCACCAATAAAAGTGTAATACATGTGGTATGGCAACTGTAACTATAGGAGAGCCCCATGTCTAGCTATGGATTCCCATAGTCTGAAGAAAAATGATAAAGGTGATGAACTTATCAGCCATGTAGTGACAGCATAACAGAATCCATTACCCTATATCATGCCTGGGTGATATAGAGTAATACAGAGATAAAATGAAACAGGAGATATTTTTATAGGATAGCGTGACAAACGAGCACACAGTCCACCTGATGGTAAGTGGTTACTGTGGCCCATAGACATCTACATTTATCTTCGATTACGAATAAAAATGCAGATGCGTTGTCACCCGTGAGGACTTAGATGGAATGCCTTGCTTCCAGTAAAAACAGTCTATGGTTCTCTACAATCACCATACGAAACACAGCAGCATTAAGTTACTATTTTACGCTTGTGTTCTGTGAGAGTGTGGTCCTTCCCTTGTCGAACCGACTCATTCGTGCGAAAAATTTACTACTAATGTGTTTGCAGCATAGCTCTACCACATATAAAAGAGATAGCAGCTGCATCCCAAAATAATAAAAAATTGCAGTTGCCAAATCGCCTGCCAAGCATGAGAACTATGGCAAGGGAATACTTAAGGAGACAATCTATGGGGGAGGTATATTTTTGCAGCTGTAATGATAATTATAAAAAACTTTTAGTTGCAGCAACCAAAAACTCACCTTATTCCAAGATTCATAAATATAATTAATGAGATCATCATGATTGTTGTTATTGTTGTGCAAAGGCCCAGTTGGGTGCTGAGCAGGTGGGCTTAGTCTCGCTCCATTGTGACCATTGGAATTTTGCCGTTTTCCACCACTCATGTGTGGCAAAGATCTAGTACCACTGCTTACATAACTTGATCTGTAATTTTATACCAATTCATTGTTAATTTTTAGTATTAATATTAGTTTTTATTTTATATTGGATATATGATTCCGATAAAATAAATAATATTACACTGATATCTAATCATGTTTGCATTCTGTAAGTCACACCTTAATAATACTATTTGCTTTCTAATGTTTACATTATTCTAAAGATTGTTTCTAAAATATATACCGTAAAATCCGTTCATGTAAAAACTATGACTTTTCGTGGAACCTGGTTCGTAGTGGAAGTTAGCAAAATTGGTTCAATAACCTCATAGTATTATTTTAACAGATATATTTTAACTTATTAGTTTATAACTAGAGGTAAACAGGAGATGCAATACTTTTTGACTCACCACGTTGAATTCGATATTATTAGATAATCTTTCTTTTAAAGTACTCTCGAGTTCCTCCTATTCTTAGTTTTTTTTAAATATCAAGTTATAAAGTAACCATCACATTTATTTTTAAATTTATAAATGTTATTCTTACAGATAATCTGCACATTACTGAATAACAAAACCTTACATACTTACACTTATACATTTCAATATGATTTGTTTAAAACCATATTATATAAATGAACAAACTACAAACAGTGCAACAGAAATAGAACATATCTGCACTCACCCCTACCATTCCCCAGTACAATATCAATTTTGTATTTTCACTATTGTTCAAAATTAACTAATTTAAAAAATCAGTTACATTGCGGATGAAGTACAAGGTAATTTGCTTTGTTGACTTTATGTGAGACAATATATATATATATGTTTTATATTATGTATCAATATGTTACAACCATTAAGAGGGCATATGCGTTTCGCGTCGAAAACTACATGTTTTATGGTTTTTCCAAAGGCGATATTGTAACGACGTGAGGAGATTATTTGCTGCTGGGCTTTAGAAAGATGAAGTCTTTATTTAGTACATAGCAATGCAAAATCATAGTTTTTAATGACGAATGCCGAAGACAATCCCTTCAGAGCTTTTTATGAAAATATGCATCAGAGTTATCTTTCAAGTTGAATACAACCATTATTATAAGCTTAAATACTTTATTTTAAGCGTTATTATAATGGAATATATAGTCTTTTAGTGTATAGCAAAACCTAAATTACGAAAATATTTCGATTTAATATTATAAAATAATATTATAAAATCACCAAAACTGTCTACTTCAATATAATTTTTTCCATGTATTTGGTTATAAACATATCTATTTTAATTATTTTATCAAAATACATGTAATGTTAAATATCCAAAAAAAATTTTAGCTCGTTTTATTTTGTCAATTATTTTATATAATTATTTTAAAAATACTATAAAACATCATACGCAGACGCCGTTCGATTCAGTACGCTCCGGGTAATCCCAACGGCAGGATGTATTACTTTTTCTCACCGAAACCGCGCGATCGCGTTGATACACCGATAGGGCTATACTACACTATACTACAACTAGATACCTATAGCACCATCGAGCATTTTAACGATTGAGACTTTTATAAGCGATATTTTTGGTAGTTTTACTAACTATGAAATTTTGAAATATGTTCATGATTGTAATATTTAAATATTAAATGATGTAATGGTGGCAAATTTTCATTTCATTAATATTTTTTTAGAAATGGGAAATGAACGTAAGCAATTCGGATCAAGTAAAAATAGAAACTCTTTGGCTTTCACCTTTGGCTCCGTGGCAGAGACTTGGTAATGAGTTGTAGCGCTGAGCGCCGCGGGTTCGAATCCTACATGAAATCAAAATTTGTATTACCTACAAATAATTGTTCCAGGTCTGGATGTTTGTCCTTGTGAAATTAATGTATTTCAACTGCCCCCACGATGTACTTAGGAAAAATTCCTAGTGTGGAGATAACGTTATGATTAAACAAAGACATGCCATCAAAAACATAACTTGTAAAATAACCAAGTCTCGCAATGATGGTACGGCCGTGCCGCTGTTTTGCTCAACTTGGCGGGGGCACGGTAGTGCAGATATAAAACATATGAGCCGTGCTTGAGTTGAGTAGCTCAAGGGCGTAGTGCTCGCCGTAAACACGAACAATCCGAGCTCGATCCCCGCTAGTGTTGCCAGGTGTCCTGATTTGCTTTTGATAGTCATTGTAGTTGTCAGGATATGAAAACCAAATCCCCGATTATTTTTACCTTCCGTCCCGAAATTTTACGCTAGACCCCAATCCCACCATACTATAAGCCATTATATGGAAATTATTTTTTTATTATTTTATTTCCAATAGTATCAAAGACAGGTATATAATCAAAGATCAAAGTGATTCGTAGTCGTCGTTAAGCAACTATTATAGTCTCACGCTCGCCCTGACACGCACACAGAGATAACATTGTAGTGTGCGTCAATATTACGCTGTTCCAAAGCGATCGCGTAGATTTCGACTTGGACATATTTGAATATGCGCTCTTAACAAGAGCTTGCAAAACTTTGTTAGGCTGTAATTAACTAACGCTCATTATCGTGTTAATAAATGTAACAAGTATAAAAAAGAGATAACTAATAACTAAGTAATTTTATTACAAAAAAATTATAATATTCGGATAAAAGCATCATACTATTACTATCTACATATTCTGTAAATAATTAATTGAAAAGGGTCGACATCGGTAGCGAAAGGACAATACACCTCACCTCATATTTCTATCCATATTAAAATTGTAAAGACGACGCCGCAACGTTACCTTCACACCTTATACTTTAACAGTTACTATTGGATCAGTTACAACTAACATGTATACACTTATCAGTTAATAAACTAAAAGAGAAAGTAAACTATATTATAATTTATAGAAAAATAAATAATAGACGCTACACACAACACAATAGACACGACAACAACATGTCACACATGCATCAAAGAGTTTTTTTATTTAACTGGCTTTACGGCACTGGGTTCTAGCCTTTCTGATTCTATCATTTCTTTCGTAAGGTTTGTTTTTAAGTATATATTTATTCTTCACAATATGCTGATGCGTCACATTGCAAAATTTTTGGGAGATTTTGACGACAGCTCAACCCAGCGGATAGTTGATGACGACAGCCACTCAAGTTCATAAGGCGCCCAAACGACCAAAATAACTTGAGGTTTATATCAACATCATAGCACTAGTTTCATCGTTTTCTCTAATAGTTCACACGTGGAGACACTTAATTCAAAAAACCGCATCACTTTTAGGAATCGAAATTCACTTCAAACCATTATTCAAGCTACAAAACAGGTGCGACAATCCGCGGACGGCCGATTTCCCGTCAAAAACCCCCATCAAAGAGTATACTGTACAGTAAACAAAACGTAAAGTAAGTATAAACCTGTACGGGATACGGGAAATAAACATTAAACATACACGTAGACAAAAAGACATTCGACATAAAATAGATTAGGCTTGGGTAAAAATATCGATATATAGAGATATCGATATTTACTCATAAAAATATATATCTTGGAGTATCAAACCAACTGGAGAGGCCATGCGCGTTAATTCCTAACAAAAAGGTCTGTCATTCTCAGGGGAAGGCGAAGAAAACACTACTGTATACATCACTACAAATGTAAAATTAAATCGCGTCACTATACACGCAGACTATAGCATTAGTGTTTGTGTTCATTGCATTTAAGCATACCGTCAAATTGTACACGTGTAGATACACTGGTAACAAATAATTTTTTTAAATATGTAGTTAATTTTTGAATTTATATACTATGATGGCAACAATTGGTATTTGACGAAAATATTCATAAAAAAACGAGTTTTAAAAGTCTCACTATCGTAATTAATATTAAGTAAATCAAGGGACCATTTTCGTTGATAAAAATTTATTATTTGAGTCTTTTTTTAGGTTTATTATTAAATTATTTGACTTAAGCCAGCTAATTATACTCTTGAGGGTGTTATTTATTTCATTTTCATAATTATTTATGTCTGTACATGTAAACACCATAGAGCTATCATCTGCAAATAGAGACATAGGAAATCTTACGCTGTTAGGTAAATCATTAATATCTACTAATTAAGAACCAAGTACGTTTCCTTGAGGAACACCAAAATTCTGAGATCGAGGATAGGACCAATAAATATATTAATTTTTAGTCTTTGAACAAACCCGTGATACTCGAGTAATTTGAATCCTGTTTATCAAGTAGGATTTTATGAGATCAAGTGTCTTGCCTCTTACACCGTATTTATTTTATTTTATAATTAACAAATCATGCCTGACAAAATCGAAAGCCTTCGAAATTTCCATATATGTATATGGCTGTCACTGGTAGTTTTCTGTCAACGTTTGTAAATACTTGGTATAAAAATTCATAAATTGCTTCATTAATAGATTTGTTTCTACGAAAGCCTTTTTATTATTTTGCAAAAATATTGAATTTATCAAGGTAGTTATAGAAGTTCTTATAAATTACTTTTTCTATAATTTTTGAAAAATATACAAGTCATAGCAATCGGACAACTGTCAACGGTAACAGGATAAGTCTTCCCTGTCATCTTTTTTAAATAGTGGTTTAATAATGGACGTTTTAAGAACTTCTGGAAATACACCATCTTCAATACACAGGTTTATAATATGACTCATTACTGGGGCAATTGTGTTTCCTACGTGTTTTATTACTTTCGTTGAAATGTTATCAAAACCAGTACAATTTGTGTGTTTTAATAATTTTATAGTTAATTTTATGTCATTAGGTGTAACAAAATTAAAGAAAAATGAATTGTGTCAAATTTTTAGAATATGTCATATCTGGAGGCACGGCAGTGCCCCCGCCAAGTCGAGCAAAAAAAGCGGCACGGCCGTACCTTACATTTCTCGATGCAGTTCAGGCCATTTTCGACCCCCTATAACTTCGTAGTGGATAAAACTAGAAGCCTGAATTTTCAGTAACTGAGTTGTATTAATATCTTATATTTCAAATTTAATTCAATTTGAACTAGTGATTTAAGAATTATAACTAGATTCTTAATTATGTCACTCACTGACTGACCGATCATCAAAACTGTAAGGCACATCTAGCAGACATAGAAGCTTCAAATTTAAAATACAATTAGTGTTTAGTGTATAAATAAAGGAAAAACTAAAATATTTTTTTATTTCGGTCCAGTTTTCTAGATACATCAACTGCATAAATAACTTTATAGCCCCATATAAATATATAGAATTACAAAGTCACAATTGCAGTGACCGAATCAGTGTACTTGTATATGTCTAATAGGTGAAGATAGGTACGTTGTTGGTATTCAAGAAGTAGAAGGTACTGGAAAGGTAAAAAAGTAAGACTATCTTATCTACAAAAAGAAATGAGATGCCATCAAAAATATACCTAGTAAAAAAACCGACCAAGAGCGTGTCGGGACACGCTCAGTGTAGGGTTCCGTAGTTTCCCGTCTGTCACATAAAGTGTTCCCACTTATGAGTTTAAAGGCGGGTATCCATTATGTTCGCGCTCCAGCAGCGCTCCGCGCTCCTGCAACTGCTCCCGGTAGTGGATACTGTTGTTTCCATCCAAGTTCAAAATGATTTTCCTAGAAAGTCCTTATAAAGTTCTACTTTTCAGATTTTTTTCATATTTTCTAAACTTATGGTTCAAAAGTTAGAGGGGGGGGGGAACAATTTTTTTTTAATTTTAGAGCGATTATTTCCGAAATTATTGACATTATCAAAAAATGATTTTAGTAAACCCCTATTCATTTTTAAATACCTTTCCAACAATATATCACACGTTAGGGCTGACATTAAAAAAAATCACTTCCCACTTTACATATAGGGGGGCTACCCTAATAAAACATTTTTTTTCCAATTTTTATTTTACCACTTTGTCGGCGTGATTGATACACATATTGGTACCAAATTTCAGCTCTCTAGTGCTAACGGTCACAGAGATTAAGCGAGGACGGACAGACGGACAGACAGACATGGCGAAACTATAAGGGTTCCTCGTTGACAACGGAACCCTAAAAACCAAGTCTCGCAATTCAGTTCTTCTACCGTAAAAAGTTGTGAGATCCATAAAATACCAAGTTAGTTAATTTATTCAGTTCCTACTTACGGGTCCTTCTGTTTTAAGTTATTACGTAATTAGCTAACCTAACAACATTTTATAGTGACCATATTAATGTTAAAAATCTTTTAATTTACAAATCAAAAAGTGTCCGTAGAAAAGCGTTAAATAAAGCTGGCACCACTGTAACCAGAGGGTAAATTTTAAAGAAATTTTTATAACATTTTATTGCATAGACTTTCACCATAATTCTTTTTATAATAATTATTTAATTGTTTTCAAAATTGTTATTTTCAAAATCAATATCAACGTGTTTTACGGCAACTTTTTCTAGGTAGTAGTTACTAAATTATTTTAGACAACCTAAGTAGTTGAGGTTTTAAATACTGCAGTTTCATCAACTACCTTGGTCTCCACAAATATTAAATTCCTCAACTCAGAACGTTTCACGTTTCACTCCGTTGACAACTGCTAAGTTCATATTTTCATACCCTCTAGCTACTCCAGCGCATTTGTGGAGAGTTTTTGAACTGTTAGTTACTGCTTACAGGCGGATACTTTTTCAACTATTCTCCTATGTGAGTTGGTTATCCTTACCTCTACGCTCCATGCTATCTTTATTTTGCAAAAGACCCATAGACTCAGAATATTAGTAGACGAACATAGTGAGCAAGTGAGAAGAAAATTCCTAACGGCAATATAGCAAAAAAGAAAAGGATAGCAAATATCATAACTTCGTAACCGATTTTGAATGACAGATCGGCACAAGTCGGCACACAATAAATGAGCTCCTAGATATTTTATAATTTTTTAGAGTATAATAGCTATCATTATCAGTAAGCAGAGTACATTCAGTAAGTAATGGTTTTCCAAAATGGTTACTTGTTCTGTAAGTGACTGTGATGTTAATAATAGAAATAATCCTGATAATTGCACATTCTCAGGTAAATTCTTAAGTATATAGTCGTAATTAATAAGACGTATCTATTTTTGGTCGAAATTTATGCCATATGCTGTTTAAAACGTATAATATTTGCAATTATTTTATTAATTTTGATATTTTGATGGTTGAGATTAAGTGGGTTGGTTATTTGGTACCCAAAAAGAACTCAAAAGTTAGCAGCAAACATTTTCTTGAGAAATATAAAAGAAAAAGTTGAATAAAACCAATTTTATTAAAAGGAGCCATTTCTACATCATTTGTACAAGTAATTCTATTAAGATTTCAAAAAATTTAACATTAAAAAACTTTTGGTAAAGATTAAGTATATTTTTATAAATTTTAAAACTGTAGTACATTAAAGATGAATCCATTTATCGACCGAAAAAATATATAACCTACTGAAGCACCGCTAGACGCCCGCGCACTTCGACCAATAATATACTAAATTCCCGATGAGCGCTTCAAAAACGGCCAGAAAAATAAGACCACAAACACTTCTGTGGTCTTATTTAAAATTAGTATAGTCCAATCATAGCCAACGTTAAAACGTCGAAATTCCGCAGTGCGCGCGTTCAAAAACTGTACAAATAACCACCGTAACACTAAGAATTTGGAAGGGATATCTTTTTTTCGGTAAGTTTATATCATTAAGTGTTTCTCATAAAATAAAAACAGAATTAAATAGCAAAAATTACTCAATTAGCTAA